AAAGGGTCAACATTTTGAATATCCATGAAGCTCTTAAAATGTGAAATTAACATCCGATTTCATTCAGACTTGGTGCATCTCAATATTTTCATCAACACAAGATCTCTTATAAAGATGGTAGAGATCGGAACATTCCTTCCGGTACCTCCCTCACAAAGGGTCAAATATTTTGAATAACAAAAAACGATTATAAAATCCGAAATAAGCATCCGGTTCTCTTCAAATTACACACATCACAATATTTTTATTAACACAAGGTCTGGTGTGAAGATGGCAAATAATATCGGTCCACTCCTTCCGGTACCTCGCCCACAAATGTGTCCAAATTTTGAAAATCCATGAAGCTCTTAAAACGTGAAATTAACATCCGACTACATTCAGACATTCCATCAACACAAGATCTCTTATAAAGATGGTAGACATCGGACCATTTCTTCTGGTACCTGCCCACATAGGTTTCAAGATTTGGAAAAAACAAAACGCTCAAAGAAAACGAAATAAGCATCCAACTCGCTTCAAATTTCTAACATCCAAATATTTTTGCTAACGCAGGTCCGTTGTGAAGATGATATATATCTGCCAACCCCTTCTGATACCTCACCCACAAAGGGTCACATTTTCCAATTCTTATATCTGTCATAACTTGGAAAACAAGTCAGTGATGCTTTAGCGAGGATGATCCCTAACCAAGAAAAATATTCAGTAAAAAAAGACCTGTTGCAATTCAAAAAAAAAAAAAAAAAAAAAAAAACGAAATCGAAAACCAAACCAAAAAAATCCAAAAAACCCAATAGTGTTTCGAACTAACATAATATTATTAACAAGTAAAAAACATTAAGTTCGGCCGGGCCAAACATTTAATACCCTCCACCTTAGGGTAAAAGAAACATTAGAAGAAATGTGGCAAAAACCATTAAAATGCCGAATATCGGGAGGTACCGTTATATGGGGGCTACACCAAAACGTGGACCTATAATTACAATGTTCCGCCACACGAACTAGGACCCATTATGACCCACAAATACCAATTTTTAGACAAATCAGTGAAAAAAATGTGGCAAAAACCATCAAAATACCGAATATCAGGAGGTACCGTTATATGGGGCTATACCAAATCATGGACCCATACATGCAATGTTTCGCCACCGGAGCTGGAAACCATTATGACCCACAAATACCAATTTTTAGACAAATCCGTGAATAAATGTGGCAAAAAAACTAAAATACCGAATATCGGGAGGTACCTTTATATGGGGGCTATACCACAACGTGGACCTATACATGCAATGTTTTGCCACACGCTCAGGGACCCGTTATGACTTACAAATACCAATTTCCAGACAAATCCGTGAAAAAATGTGGCATAACTCATCAAAATACCGAATATCGGGAGGTACCGTTATATGGGGACTATACCAGAACGTGGACCGATATATCTCATTTTCAATACCAACCATCCTAGACACAATGCAAATAGCGCTGCTAAATTTTGGCGCTCTACGTCAGATAATGTGGGCTGTATCGTGATTTCAACAGACAGACAGACAGACGGACATCGTTAAATCGACTTAGAATTTTATGCTGATTATGAATATATATACTTTATGGGGTCTACGACGAATATTTCTGGATGTTATAAACGGAATGACAAAGTTAATATACCCTCCTTTCCAAGGTGGAGGGTATAATAAGTAAAAAAGCAGTAAGCTCGGCCGGACCGAACTTTGAATACCCTCCACCATTTGGAGAGAATTTGGAAATTTTCAAAAAAAAAAAAATCCTTTAAAAGTTCTGTCAAAATCTTAAAACTACCGATTATATCCGTTATTTTCGGGGTCTATACGAAGACGTCAACCTACATAGGCAAATTTGTCATAAGCCATTACAATATTCAAATACGAAACTTGTAACATAAATCCGATGAATAATGTAGCTAAAATCATCAAAGTACCGAATATAGGGAGGGGTACCGTTATGAGGGACCTATACGAAGACATAGACCTGCAAAATACTTCATGGACTTCAAATACTAATATTTGAAATAATTCCGGTGGATAACGTATTTTAAAATATCAAAGCACCGAAAATAGTGAGGTACCGTTATATGGGAGCTATACGAAGACCGGGATCTGCATTGGCAATTTTGTAAAAAATCCGGTCAATAATGTAGCTAAAATCATCAAAATACCGAATATAGGAAGGTACCGTTATGGGGGACCTATACGAAGACATAGACCTGCAAAATACTTCAAATACTAATATTTGAAATAATTCCGGTGGATAACATATTTTGAAATATCAAAGCACCGAAAATAAGAAGGTTCCGCAATATGGGGGCTATAAGAAGACCCGGATCTGCATTGGCAATTTTCTGTCACAGGCTGTAGTACCCATTAGAAACTCTAAATACGAAATTTGAAACAACTCCGGTGCAAAATGTCGCTAAAATCATCAAAATATTGGGAGGTACCGTTATATGGGGGCTATACCTAACCTTGGATCTATATAGCCAATTTTCAATACCAAAAGTCCTGTAGATCAAACACACATTTGTGTAAAATTTATCAACCTACTTCAATTTTTTCGGAAGAGGCTAGAGATCGAGTTTTATGCTGATCAAGAATATATTCTTTGTGGGGTCTAAAATGTATATTTCGAGGTGTTACAAACGGAATGACAAACTACTTAGAAAAAAGCCTGTAGCAACTCAAAAAAAAAAAAAAAAAAACAAGTAAGCAAAGGCTACAGTCGAGCGGGGCCGACCGTTGAATACCCTACAACACTATAATAAACGATACAGTTTATATAGGCGAGATACTCGAAAGAATTTCACAAGATATTGCGACAAATAATAAAAGAAAACCATCAGGTTTCGTTCTTTAATTTTCGAATAATAGCAACTTAAACTAATTTAAATGGTCATCCTAGATCTGGAACCAATATTTCCCAAAGACCAATAATCTCTCAGAAGTGGCAAAAGATTAACATTATTATTGGTTTTTGACTGAAACGCATCTATATGAGATACAGACATTTGACTATATTCTTCAACGAAATCAGCGTTAACGAAATAGTCAGAAGTGCGTCTTTCCTGTATTTGTGAATTCTCCAAAAAGTCACTGGAATGGACATTTTCGTATTTTGTCTACAAAAGTTGGCAAACTATTTCCCACTTTTGCAATGTCCGGTAACCCCCATTCAAATGGGCGTGAGGATCGGTTGATAATTACGACCTGCTTACAATGTTGCAGTTTTTTGGTTCATTTCAACCCCTAAATATATGGCGATCATCTCCAAAAAGAGTAGGCTTCTATTCTGACCCTCATCTTATCCCCATGCAAAATTTCGTAAGGATCGGGCCATAAATGCGATCTGTATATGATATCCTGATATCCTAACTACTTAGTTTTGTTAGCTGTAGAAATATTACCAAATGTTTAATTCAAAATGAAAATATGCCAAAAATATGACAAAATTGAAAAAATATGAGAAAATTTTTCTTTCCTGCCAAGAGGCCATTCTGAATTAATGAGAACTGTCGAAATCAGTTCAGCCGTTCTCGACATATAAGAGATCTTTCAAGCATATCTTCTTTGATAGACATATATATCACACATATTTCGCTATATATCCGATTTGTTGGATGTTAACATCAATGTAAAGGTCAGAAGTAACCTTGTCATGGCTTTGTGATTTCGCCGGTATTTAAAATATTCGCGGTTTAATGAAAAATTTTGAATTTTTTCAACACAAAAGTTATCGTATATTTTACCCGCTAAATATTATCCGATGACCACCCAAATTGGTATGCTTCTTCCCCGCCCTAAACTCTAGCTACATGCGAAATTCCGCGTCGATTGGTCTATAATTGTGACCTGTATAGCTAATGCAAAATCCGACATTTTTTCAGTATTTGGTCCATTTCAACCCCTAAATATTATGCGATCATCTCCAAAAGAAATAGGGTTCTATTCTGACCTAAGCCCCACCTCCATTCTAAATTTCGTGAAGATCGGGCCATAATTGCGACCTGTAGAGTGATTACAAATTAACATGGACAGACGGACGGACGGACATACATAGCTAGATCGACTCAGCTCGGCGAGCTAGGAAGATCCATATATACTTTCCTATATGGGAAACCAATATTTCGAGGTGTTACATAAATTCTGGCCCAATCAAACTTATAATACCCCCAACACATAGTGTTGTAGGGTATAAAAACCCAATAATTTTGTCATAATATTTTTAAAAATCCTCAAACTATTCCAAATTTTTAGAATATATATAATAAGTCGTCGATTAGGCAATTTGTTGTGTTCATAATTTTTTTTTAAATCCCTCAGAAAAATATTTGTCAAAAATCATTATTTGACTATTTTACAATCCTCTATTTGGGTTACTTATCGGGGTTAACTTTCAAAACGCCGATAAGCGTAACTTCTATTTTTTCTCTACTACTTTCAAAATTACTGCAATTTTCCTGTAATTTTTGAAGACATTTGAATTTTGTCAAACAATTGTATTTTAAATTCTATTTAGTATTGGGTCTACACAAAGCTGAGGAACCGGCACAGTGCCTCGACCTATATGTCGAATTCTCATCAATTTCAATATTAAGTTACATTTATAAATATATTAAGATTTTTAAAATTATTTTTCTCTTAGACTTATCTAATTTCCTCCACAGGACCCCCATCACTAATGTACGGGTTAATACGATTACCACAGTCTAGAAAACCATTAACTTAAAAATAGAAAACTATAATAATTTCTAAATATGGCATAAAAGCTAAGTTCTAAGTTAGTTAGTAGTAAATAATAGAATGAATAGCTGTGGAAAACTACTACAACAAACCCCCAAATGACGTTATATTAAAATTAAAAAAAAATAAATAAATAAACTCTAGACCAGACTACTTTGAGAAATGAATGAAACGAAAGTAAAAGAAAAATAGAAAATATAAATAAAATATTGAAAATGCAAAATGGAAACTTACCAGAGGTAACAGATTTCCTTAAAGGTAAATCACGAAATGTGGTAACACTACTACTTTCTAAGTTTAAATCCACCGAAGGCAAGGGAGGCGGTGGTGCTGGAGTATCCGAATGGGAACGTTCATGTATCGAACGTACGGGGGGTGGAATCATGGTGGCTGAAAAAAAGAAACAAAAATAGAGAATTGTTTTTTGGGTACATTTTTTAAAAAATATATATAAAAAAACCAAGATCATCAGTCGGTTGGCCGACAGATGTATACCAGCAGCATTTGTATATCTCTTCGGGACATACCATAAAGATTGGACCTACATATACGATCTTTATACTTAATCTAATTTCGTGCAAAAATATTGGGAATTACTAGAAGAAGTGGGCCGAACAGAACACACACAAGATTTAACAACTCTCCCACCCAGGCGTGTCAGGAAGGACATGCATGATCTAGAGAGGGAGGTCCAACGCTATAAGAGAGAATTTCTAGATCAAGAAGCCTATCAGGCAGGTCTGAGTGACGTTCATACCGATGCAGTCGCAAATGCCAACAGCAATTACAAGATGAATGCCGTCCTCGGAGTCCACCCCCATCCATTGGAGCTGGCTAGACAAACAAGGGTAGTTTTGGCTCAATTACGTTCAGGATGGTGCAGTCGTCTCAATTCGTATTGGGCACGAATTGACGAAGGTGTGTGATACAGACTCGCACAATACACTGCGCCTCTTTTATTGCGCCTCCAAACCTACCCAACTCACTCCAGAAGATCTCTGGTTACAGCCCGTTAAGGTAGCTGAATTTTTAAAACTGGAGCTTGAACCAGACTAGCAGAATACAAAAATCCACATGTAGTACTGCAACAACAAAATCTAATGTTGGTGGAAGTATAGTTTTGTTCGAAGTTAAAAGAAGTTAAATTTTATTAGAGTTACAAATAAATTGGGTAGGGCAGGATACCAGAAAGAGTCCAGCTAACAATTTTTTCCGATGGCTCTGATGTCTGATTTTTGGTTGAGATTTTCTACCGTTCTACAATTAAATTGGGTAGGGGGATACCAGAAAGAGTCCAGCTAACATTTTTTTCCGAGGGCTCTGATGTCTGATTTTTGGTTGGGATTTTCTACCGTTTCTCCAAAAAAGTTATTTAGATGCGGCATTGGCATATACTGTGGGAACTATGGGAAGTACCATAGAAACGAACATCAAACGATTTCGGACAAATTTTTAGAAAAAATTAGACATTTTTCCAATAATTTTCCTAATTTCGAAAAAAAAGTATTTTTTTCCCGGTTTTCGGATAAAACAATCGAAAATATTCGTATTTCGAAAAAAAAAAAAAAATAGTAAATCTTTTCGGGTACCAGAAAGAGCCCAGGTAACATTTCCGAGGGCTCGTGTGGTCCAATTTTTTTTTTGTCGAGATTTTCTACCGTTCCTCCAGAAAAGTTATTTAGATTTATGACTCCGCGAACTATGGAGACGAACATCAAAAAATTTTGGACAAATTTTCCGATAATATTAGACTTTTTCAAAAAAATTTCTGAATTTCGAAAAAATATTGTTTTTTTCCGATTTTCGGATAAAACTATTGAAAATATTTATTTTTATCGATAGAAACGAATACCAAACGATTTCAGACAAATCTTCCGAAAATATGAGATTTTTTTAATTTCCGGAATTTCGGAAATTAGTGCATTTTTCCGATTTTCAAAAAAAAAAAAAAAAAAAACTATCAAAACATTCATATTTTTCCGAATTTTGGATCAAATACCCGAAAAGTTTCCGAATTTCGCATTAAACATCCGACCCGTTTCCGAATTTCATATCAAACATAATATATTTCGGCGATTTTCGGAAAAAACTGTGGAACAAGTTCCGATTTTTTTCGAGTTTCGGATCGAACATCCGAAAATTTTGGGAACATACAAAAATATTCACAATTTTCCTTTTACAAATTCGTCCCATAATCTCATGTACCTTTCTTTTTTTCTTTTTTTTGCAACCTCACACAATTTTTTTCCGAGTTCATTCCGAATTCGACATCAGAATCGGAGACTTGTGCTGAGTTATTTGTCGAATTCGGAAAAAATGGAATGATTGGAACCTTTGTGGGGGAGGTAATAGAAGGGATGGTCCGATCCATACAATCTTCACATGACATCTTGTGTTGGTAGAATTATTGAGATTTACTAAGTTCGGAAAGAATTGGATGCTTAATTCGCATTTTATGAAGGTTATGGTCATTCAAAATTTTATGGAGGAGGTACCAGAGGAATGGTTTGTTCTATCCTATCTTCATACAAGATATAGATTTGGTAGAAATATTGGGATATGGAAAATTTAAAAAAATTGGACCCTTATTTCACATTGTATAAGATTTATGGCTATTCGAAATGTTTACCCTTAGAGGGAGGTACAAGAAAAAGTAGATCGATATTATTAATCTTCGAACCTGAGCTAGCACCGATGCCGATAATAATATTTCAATGTACAAAATTTGTACCAAATCAGACACTTCCTTTTCGACTTCAAATGTCCTGAAAAGCATTTCTACCAAAGAGACACTGAGCCAAATGTCGTTATTTCTCTTCTGAATTTGGGTATTATATTCACATTCATGTTTGAGTTATTTTTCACAATGCCTATCGGAATTTTGATATTTTGTATTGGAGGAACCCGAAGAATTGAACCGAATCCGAACTCAGGAAACCTCTTCTCAAAAGAAACATTGTCTAAATTTGGAATATTTTCAAGGCCTGAGAAACTTCTAAACGATATTTGTGACTTCTCGAAATGTTGTGCCTTTGTTTGAGAGCTACCTGAGAGAATATCGATTGAAATGGCCCATATTAAAATGTTGGATACAATTAAGATGTTGGGGCAACCCACATTAACAATATGGCATCTCATGTTGCAACATCCTATAGGACGCCGTGCTACCGCCATTTTAGCTTGCTCAGTCTTGTTTTGTCTGTCACTCGAGTCTGACTCACTACATTTAACTTCTTCTTTCCTTTTAAATTAGTAGCTGTGAACGCTCATCATCCAATAAATCTTTACACCTTTAGTATTAACAAACATTGGCTTTTATTTCAAACTATAAAAGTACAACATAAGAATTCTCCTGCTTTATTTTTAGTTTTATTACTTTTTGAAAACTTTTACCAGTTGTGGGGGAGGTGGTACCAAAAATCTATGTGTCATTTTTATTTTTTTCCAAATTTATACCTCATCCAAAGGAGGGTTTGAAATTAAAATTCGAAATTTATTTAATTTTTAATCGGGATTCTTTGTGTTAAACATCTAAATCTCCAAAATCAAAACTTTTTGTAAGAAAACGTACGGGACTCTACTTTCAGTCGGGACCCTCTTCTCAGCATCAGATATTTCTAAAACTCCAAAATCAATTTTTTTTCTAAGAAAATTTAGGGGATTCTATATCAAATACCCTTCTCTGTATCAGATATATCTAAATCTCCAAAAAATCAAAGCTTTTCTAAGAAAACGTATGGGATTCTAAAATAAATACTCCGATTGAAAAAAAATCTCTTCTTTCCTTGTGTATTTACCTACCTGGCATTGAATTACTACTGCCGGGCGTCAGGCGTCGATGTGAGCAAGGACTGGGTGTCGGTGTCGAGGACGAAGCCAAGGCGGCCGCAACTGGCACTCCGGCTGCGTTGAAACCATGCAGATGGGTATTACTCAGCAATGGTATGTTGCCGGGCAGGGTAGCTGGTGGTCGGGGAAATGGTTGATGTGGTCGTATTTTGGTCGATTCGGAGAGTGAAAGTATTTTTCTCACTGCCTGTGGTGAGGCGGTACCAAATTTTGGGCAATTCGGATTTATGTTACGACGATTATCGCTGGTCGATGATGTAGAGGAGGTTGTCGAAAGGGTCGGCGACGAGGGATGACGCTTCCTCAAGGACAACGATGAATTTGGTGCCGACGATGAGTTCGAAGTGTGAGAATAAATACTCAATTGATCTCCGCCGGTACGTGAAGAGTTTCCCCCATGCTGCGATGAAGTGGAGGCGGTCGATGTATGGGCTGGTTCACATTCCAGTGAGAATTTATGGAGAATATCTTCATCATTGATGATTTTCAAATTATTCAAATAGGCCTTCACACGCCGCACCATTTGAGCCTCTTCGAACATTTTCTTGGGATTTGGGGCTGCGGTGGATTTCTTCCTCCGTTTTATGGTGGCATTCCCAGCATTGGCTGCAATCAATGTGGGTCCCTGATTGCTGCCACCCTGGGATGTAGACATTTGATTCAACGAAAACATGGCATTCGATGGTGATTGTCCCTTCAATTCCAAAATGGCCAACAGATCATAGGGCGATGAGCACATGTGCGAAAGCAACCGCACTTCCTTGGCAATCATACGTAACTTTTCAAAATTGATGAGATCTTCTATGATGGTATCATTACCCAAATGGATAAATGTCAGATCCTTGCGTACAATCGGATAAAATGGAATGATGGGATGTTGATTGAGCAATTCCGATGAAACCAATTGCCGGTATTTGGACATATTCCTTGAGGGATCCATGAGATCTTGTAAATCCGAAAACAATCGTTGATACTTCGAAGGCAATTTCTCCCAAGTTTGCCTCAGGCGATAGACGGCAGCATGGCCCAGGCCGGAGATAATGGCAAACATTGAATTGAAATTTCGACACTCCTTACAGTGGCGGGCAATTTTGATGAATTGTTTGACAATTTTCATGCGCCGCACAATGTTGTGTTCACTGCAAATTTCCGTGACCACCCAAAACATTTCCCGATTAACCAATTCGGAAAATTTACTCAACATCGGCACGCCGTATTTGGTTTTCAAATTGAAAAGATCATCAACATATTCGGTGGATTCAATTTGCCGGAAGGTGGAGAAATCCTGTAGGGTCAGTTGTATGGCCAATTCATAGGCATTGAGTTGAAGGAAGTGCACATTAGACTCCCGTACCAATTCCAGCGCCAATTCGTCGGGCACCAGGGTTTCGGATATGCCATTTGTTTTCAAATAATAACGTGAGGCGAATCCAATGCGTTCCGCCAAATTTTGCAATTGATCGGGCAGGCGCCTTTGTTTCACCATGCCACCCTCTCCCACACTGACCTCACACAGCGAAAAGTTTGAACTGGGATCGTGTATGCCGAATTCCTGCAGAGCCAACATAACCACTTCATGGGCTGTGGTCTCTTTGTTGATTAGCAAATATTTACAGGTTTGATCTGCCTTGAACACCTTGAGGACATGTTCTGGATAGTCTGGCACCAGACTTCCCGTGGTGGATACAGCCGATGGCCTATGGACCGAGGCAGAGAGATAACTGCCTGGATTTAGTGTCGATGTTGTCGAATTATCTTCATATTGCAGGGAGGTTAAATCGGGATTCGATTGAGACTGATAAAGTCTGCCACCACCGCCTCCATTGGGTCCAGATGATGAGGAAGCACTGCTGAGAGATCCCGATTTGTGTTTCTCCGAACAGGCCACATTTAGCAATGCATCGCTGGAATCATTTAAGTTTGAGGCCTGCAGCCCGGTAACATTTTTGTGCAATAAATTCATTTTGGCCAAGGCCTTTTGCAACCTCCTCTTAGGGGCCAAGGTCATAAAACCTCCACCCTTGGAATCGCCACCACCGCCACCACCACCATTACCCTGCATGGCATTGGGATCTTTCTTCCCGGAGGCATTGACTGACTGCAATAAATTGTTCATGAAATTTGAGGCCATGTTGCCGGAACTCTGTACCGGGGTACCAGGGCTGGGTAATCCTCTATCCGTTTGATCTTCACCTGCCGTCGAATGCAGCAACATATCCACCGAACTGAGGCGAACTATGTGCGCCCTATTTGCCGCTGCGGTCATGTCATCGCTTGTCGAATCGGCCCTTCCATGTAGCTTGGCCACATCATTGGCACATATCCTTCGAGGAGAACGCAATGATTTCGAACCCAATGCTGCCATATTCCCGTTGGCCGAGTTCATGCCACCACTGGCCGTCAGCTCCACAGCCTGCATCATTTCTTTGAAACCTAGCAGATTACTTTTTACAGTTATACTCAAATGGGTGGAGCCCATTAGAATTTCCAGGGCCCGTTTACTGGTCACATGTTCAAAACTTTGACCATTCACTTCATGTATCTGATCGCCACGTTTGAGACCCGCCTCCTGGGCCTTGGAATCCTTTTCCACATGCGAGATATAAATGCCACAGCCGCCTGTGGCCACACAAGCTCCACGCATTTCATAGCCTCCAATGATTTTGAAATTCAGCGATTCATCACGCGAGGATCGCGTTAAGGTGCAAGAACGATTACGGGCCTTGGCCGCACAGGCAATGTGTAGCAAACGCAGTTGGCTCAACAACTTTTTCCTCTCTAAACCGGCTTCGAAAATCTCCAAAAATTCCATCATTTCATGGTCGGCTTCAAAGTCCGTGAAATGATTGTTGACCCAAAGCAAAACGACACGGGTAACACGATCCCTTATCTCCTGGGCTGTGGCATGACTGGCAAATTTCGGTGCTGACTCCATGCCATTTACATCGGCCTCAAACCAATTCAGCAACTTTTGGGTAACTTCTTGAGAATTTTTAATAAAAATCCGATGGGTCAAGAGGAAATCTTCCACATAGAAAGGATCCGTCATGGAATTCTCCTCCACCAACTGTTGCAGCAAACGTTCAGGGGTGCCTCTGATCACCACATGGCCTCGCTTGGCATTTGCCCCCGAACCCTGGCCACCACCACCTGCTGCCGTACCATCATTGCTACCAATTTGCCGCAACTCTGTGACCATAACGACACGACCATCTTCATCCTCATGTCGCCGTGTATTCTCCTCTCCCTGATGCTGTATCCGATAGTAATCCGTTTGAGTGATACACACAAACTGACAATCATCACATTTCGTGCGCATCACGCCCTTGTGATAGAGTTTATCCATTGTGGGCAAAATGCCAAAGGAATCGCCCACCTGGAGCTCCTCACGTTCGCCATTGGCATGTTCAATTTCCACCACACCATTGATGAGTACTGACCATGAATCCAACTCTTCACCATCAGACATAACGACAGTGCCGGCTTTATCGACCACAGCAAAGACCATCACCGAACACAGGGCTCGGCGCACGGCCAGTGTAATGTTTGTAAAGGCCTTGAGGCCCTGTGTGAATTCGAGTAGAATTTCAACATCTTCTTCCGTCCGTTCAGAGGGATCTTTTTCCAAACAATCGCGAACAGCATCACGGACATTGAGGCTCTGGAAAATAGAAGAGAATGATTAGTAACATGGAGGTGACAAATTTGCAGATTCGACTATATCTAGACTACACCTTTTGGGTGATATGCAGCGTATGACGGTTTCATTGGCCGTTTGAAGGCCATAATTCTTGTCAAAGGTGACCAATTCGAGCAAATCTAAACTTATTCTAAAATTTCACGCTATTTCCGATATTTTTTGCTTTCATTCAATAAAATTTAAAAAATATGGCGTTTGACTTCGTTGCAGTTTTTTATCTCACCCTTTAATTCCTGGAGAAAACAACCCCCCGACGAAATCCAAGGAAGCGGATTTTTAATAAAGGAAAATATTTTGAAGAAGTAAAAAAACTGTAATTTCTGCCGGGCCAAACTTTGAATACCCTCCACCATTTGGAACGAGTTTAGCAATTCTCAAAGACAATAAAATCCGTTGAAAATTCTGTTAAAATCTTACAAAAACCGAATGCAGCTGTTATTTTACAACGACATGAACCTGCATAGGTAACTTTTGTCATAAGCCATTACAATATTCAGATGCGAAACTTAAAATAATCGGTGAATAATGTAGCTAAAATCATCTAAATACCGAATATAGGAAGGTACCATGGGGGTTATAAAACGTGGACCTGCACAGACAATTTTGTGGAATAGGCTGTAGTATCCATTACGAACTTCAAATACCAAATTTGAAAGAATTCCGGTGAAAAATGTCGCTAAAATCAACAAAGTACCGAATATCGGGAGGTACCGTTATATGGGGGCTATACGAAGACGTGAACCTGCACAGACAATCTTCTATCTTAGGCTGTAGTATCCATTATCAAATACCAAATTCGAAACAATTCCGGTGAATAATGTCGCTAAAATCAACAAAGTGCCGTATATCGGAAGGTACCGTTATATGGGGGCTATACGAAGACGTGGACCTGCACAGACAATTTTTTGTCATAAACTGTAGTATCCATTACCAACATCAAATACCAAATTCGAAACAATTCCGGTGATTAATGTCACTAAAATCAACAAAATGCCGAATATCGGGAGGTATCGTTATATGGGGGTATACGAAGACGTGAACCTACATGGTCTATTTTCTGTCATAGGCTGATCCATTACGAACTTCAAATACCAAATTTGAAAGAATTTCGGTGTATAAGGTCTCTAAAACATCAAAACACCGAATATCGAAAGGTACCCTTATATGGGGGCTATACGAAGACGTGGACCTGTATAGACAATTTTCTGTCTTAGGCTGTAGCACCCATTACGAACATCAAATAACAAATTTGAAACAATTCCGATGAATATTGTCGCAAAAATCATCAAAATACCGAATATCGGGAGGTCCGGTTATATGGGGGCTATACGAAGACGTGGACCTGCACAGACAATTTTCTATCTTAAGCTGTAGTATTCATTTCGAACTTCAAATACCAAATTTGAAAGAATTCCGATGTATAATGTCTATAAAATCATCAAAATACTGAATATCGGGAGGTACCCTTATATGGGGGTTATACGAAGACGTGGACCTGTATAGACAATTTTCTGTCTTAGGCTGTAGTATCCATTTCGAACTTCAAATACCAAATTTGAAAGAATTCCGGTGAATAATGTCTCTATAATCATAAAAATACCGAATATCGGGAGGTACTGTTATATGGCGGCTATACGAAGACGTGGACCTGCATATACAATTTTTTGTCATAGGCTGTAGTATCCATTTCGAACTTCAAATACCAAATTTGAAACAATTCGTGTGAAAAATGTCCTTAAAATCTTTAAAATATCGAATATCGGGGGGTATCGTTATATGGGGGCTATACGAAGACGTGGACCTGCGTACACAATTTTCTGTCTTAGGCTGTAGTATCCATTTCGAACGTCAAATACCAAATTTGAAACAATTCCGGTGAAAAAAGCCGCTAAAATCATCAAAATACCGAATATCGGGAGGTACCCTTATATGGGGGCTATACGAAGACGTGGACCTGTATAGACAATTTTCTGTCTTAGGCTGTAGTATCCATTGCGAACTTCAAATACCAAATTTGAAACAATTCCGATGAACAATGTCACTAAAATCAACAAAGTACCGAATATCGGGAGGTATCTTTATATTGGGGCTATACGTGGACCTGTATAGACAATTTTCTATCTTAGGCTGTAGTATCCATTTCGAACTTCAAATACCAAATTTGAAACAATTCCGGTAAATAATGTCGCTAAAATCAACAAAGTACCGAATATCGGGAGGTACCGTTATATGGGGGCTATACGAAGACGTGGACCTGTATAGACAATTTTCTGTCTTAGGCTGTAGTATCCATTTCGAACTTCAAATACCAAATTTGAAACAATTCCGATGAATATTATCGTAAAAATCATCAAAATACCGAATATCGGGAGGTCCGGTTATATGGGGGCTATACGAAGACGTGGACCTGCATATACAATTTTTTGTCATAGGCTGTAGTATCCATTTCGAACTTCAAATACCAAATTTGAAACAATTCGTGTGAAAATGTCCTTAAAATCTTTAAAATACCGAATATCGGGAGGTCCGGTTATATGGGGGCTATACGAAGACGTGGACCTGTATAGACAATTTTCTGTCTTAGGCTGTAGTATCCATTTCGAACTTCAAATACCAAATTTGAAACAATTCCGGTAAATAATGTCGCTAAAATCAACAAAGTACCGAATATCGGGAGATACCGTTATATGGGGGCTATACGAAGACGTGGACCACCTGCACAGACAGTTTTCTATCTTAGGCTGTAGTATCCATTTCGAACTTCAAACACCAAATTTAAAACGATTCCGGTTAATAATGTCGCTAAAATCAACAAAGTACCGAATATCGGGAGGTATCGTTATATGGGGGTTATGCGAAGACGTGGACCTGCACAGACAATTTTCTGTCTTAGGCTGTAGTATTCATTTCGAACTACAAATACGAAATTTGAAACAATTCCGATGAATATTGTCCCAAAAATCATCAAAATACCGAATATCGGGGGGTATCGTTATATGGGGGCTATACGAAGACGTGGACCTGCATACACAATTTTTTGTCATAGGCTGTAGTAACCATTACCAACATCAAATACCAAATTCGAAACAATTTCGGTAAAAAATTTCACTAAAATCAACAAAGTACCGAATATTGGGAGGTACCCTTATATGGGGGCTATACGAAGACGTGGACCTGTATAGACAATTTTCTGTTTTAGGCTGTAGTATTCATTTCGAACTTCAAATACCAAATTTGAAACAATTCTGATGAATATTGTCGTTAAAATCATCAAAATACCGAATATCGGGACGCCCGGTTATATGGGGGCTATACCAAAACGTGGCCCTACATGGCCCATTTTCAATACTAAAAGTCGTGCAGACATAATATACATTTGAGTAAAATTTTATCAATCTACTTCGATTCGTTCGGAAGGTGTAGGGATTTCCACAGACGAACGGACATCGATAAATCGACATAGAATTTTATGCTGATCAAGAATATATATATACTTTGTGGGGTCTAAAGGGAATATTTTGAGCTGTTACAAACGGAATGACAACCTTAATATACCCTCCATACTATGGTGGAGGCTATAATAAAATATCGGATCTTATGTGTACATATTTTGGCACTGTTAAGCAGCTGCCTATCACAACACATTCGTAGCGCAATTATTTGCCCTACAACAAATTGCGGTAATTTAACAAGCACGTTTCGGTAATGTTGTTATTTTTTATTATTTATATAACAAACAAGCTGGTGTATTAACCATTAACCAGTGGAGTTCGCTTATCGCCCCATTACAGATGCTGTGTAGATGGCACAACAGCCAAGCGAAACATTTTTGTAAAATATGCGATAAATTTTTGAAATTGCAACTCCAAAGACCTGAGGAGATAGCCGATGAGAGAAGTGCGGATATGTGAGGCATGAAGTTTATTTTCTTTGTCTTCTCTCGTACACTTCCTCTTATTTGTCTCCATGCTCCGATGTGAAGAAAATGACACACCAAAAAAAAACACATCAGCAACAATTTCCGAAAAAAGCAAATAGCAAAAAGCTTTGCAACGATGACGATGACTGTGGCCGATCAGCGGTACACATCATAAACGTCAGCAGCCGGGCAAACAGCGGATGGGTTGGTAGTCCTCATATCGTTGTGTTATAAATAAAATAACATAAAAATAATAATAACCATCTCATAATAATGCCGCCATTATTACGGGTTGTTGCTGTTGCCACTGCTGTCTCAGCATTAAAGAAGAAGGAGAAAAAAAAAACAACAACACACAAAAAGACCAACCAATCAACCAAGTCAGCCAGCCAACACAAGATTAACCTAAAGTGGGACAATGAACGTAACACAAAAACATTGTAACTGTGTATTAAACGTAGGTAGATAGCTAGGAATGGAGGTATATCGGATATATATGTGTGTGAAAAAAAAATTATGAAAACAAAACATTAAACCACGCACACAGGCTGTCATGTGAACGTCACACTTGGCCGTTTGAATGAATGAGTTCTCGGTCGCGCGGTCCAACCAAATAAAGCTTTTTTTTCCTACGGTGGCAATTGCTACAAAATCGAGCGTTTTTGTTATTAGATTGAATGAAATGAAGTTGTTGTTGTCTTCTATCTATGAACGAAGTACGATGTAAAGATATAGAAATCTATTAATTTAATGTTCGATATGGATGCAAGGTTACATGCACTCGAATCAAAAAAAAAAATCAATTTTTGTGTATTATGTCAGTAGGTGTGGAGAATAGTTCTAGGGGGAGTTGAAGGAAACTTCTAGAAGGGGGGGTGGAGATTATTTCTTAGAGGCGTAACAAAAACAAGAATCAGAGATCATGAATTTTTTAAGAAAAGCAATTTGAAATCTGTTATTTTTTTAAAGTCTTCTTAAGTTCATATCAGAGTTCCGAGAATTAAAAAAAAAAACAAAAAATTTTTTTTACGTTCTATAATAA